GCCCCCCCTGGAAGAGGGGGTAGTAAGTAACCTGAAAGGAAGCCATCCCAATAAAGCTTCGGGATTGTACCGGCATTCACGCCAAACAGCGGCCTTAAGGCCTCTCGAACACTGGCAAGCCTGCACACTCACTTTGGACCTTTCCGCCTGCCACTTTCCAGCTAATTACTTGGTACTTGATGTCCAAAATATTGTTGAACTTATCAGTCTTGCCCACTGGGCCCTGACAGAAAGAGTAAAGCTTGCTTGAAATTCAGCTCGAGGCTCAAGCTCATCAACTGCTGAATGTCAGCATTGAATGCGAAGGTCTCCGCCATTGCGAGATCCTCGTTGAAGAGAGCGAATTGGTTTCCTCAAAACTGATCACTGGAGCCGCGCTTTCGCAGAGGAAGAATCGGGCTTGCATCTGAGACAGGCACTAGCTCTGTTTCAACAATCCGAAGGTCTACTCAGAGTTGCATGCAATTCCCTCAGAGTTTAGTACAAAACCACCAAACACTCACACAGTGTGCTGCTCAACCCGTTTTGATCAACAAAGGCCCGCTCCACTCGATCGATGTCTCTCCCCCGAGATCTGCGACGATCCGCGCCTGCACCCAGCTACCATCTTCTCGCCTCAAGGACTCTGCCAGTGGATTCAGGTTACGCGGAGCGCAACAGCAGAGTTTTGGAATGGGGAGGAGTGATATAACAGTCATTCTCATTGGAGTGGAGAAAACGTCGGGAGGTTTCTTTGTCCCATCCTCCTTTTTTTGGGTTTGCTCCATCCAAGCATCCAAGCGGAGCAATACTGGGACCCCGAGCTGAAGCTCCGTTTCCAGAATCGAGCCTGGCAAACCACCGTCACTCACCTTCCACCGAAAGAAAGGTGGTGGAACAAAGAAGTCCCAGAACTTCCAGAACCTTCAAAGTGACCGTCCTCGAGATCCTAGAATGAGGTCACTTATATAGTCCCTAAAAAGGTCACTGAGAGACTCCAAAGAGGTCACTTTGAAGGTCCTGGTTCCATGACTTGAGAACTACTCCACCTGGTCGTCATGATCCATCCACTTACCAGTTCGGGGGGAAGGTGCGTCGTCATGTTCCTGGACTATCAGGGAGGGCTTGAGAAGCCCCCTATGAAATCAATGGTGAACGGTCTGAATGGTGTTCCTTCCAGCGGAAAGCGTGGCAACCAACCAGAAACGGCTCACTTTGCAACCAGCTAAGCTTGAATGGAATAGAATGGAATGCGGAATGCTCAAAAAGGAGCCAGGAGTTGCGGGCACCGGTGTCGTTTGCTTAGGATTTCAAACGCATGGGCTGGATGGAAGAGAAATTCGTCGCCAAACGCTGGGCCTTTGGCGAAGACCAGCCATCCAAACTGACCAAACGCCCAATGTCTTTGGATCCCATCGTCACGATGGTCGTCTCCCAAAACCATGGCAAATCCGCATTCCGACGGTATGACTCAAAGAAAAATGCCTTTTCAGTCAAGAGCAAAGGAAAGCCCTTTTGGGCCACAAAAAGCCCATACTGATGTCCTGACTCTTAGCTCTTCAAGACCACCAGACCACCTCCCCCCGTCCTCGGAAGCAAAGAATAGAAAAATGCACCTCAGGTCCCTCTGTACCGTTTGCTTCAGAATTAAAAAACTACTTAAAGCCTCTTAAAGCCCTATTTGTTCACCTCCAGGTCGTTCTCTTCTTCGACGTCCGGATCTCCGCCTGAGAGTTTGGAGTTCCGAGAGGAGTCCAGCCAGGAGCCAGGCACAGTGTCCACCGGGTAGCCGATCCGCACGTACCTGGCAGTGGGGGACAGAGAGAATTCACAGCTGCGAGGGTTTCGGTCTGCGGACGAAGTCAGCCACCTCGAGGAGTGCAGGAAACGGTTCCGACATGGGACTTCCAGGTGCCGACCGGGAATGTCCGTTTTTCTTTCTTCCAGGAAGTCCGGGCACACCAGATCCGACTTCAATCCCTACACCTTCAACACCCAGCCACACCCAGCCACCCCGTTTTCAATTTGCGCACTCATTGAAGATGGCCTCGGACGCACCATCTGGCTGGAACTCGCCATCGACGACTTGGAAGGTTTGATCTGCGATCACCTTGGCCCGATCGCCTCCCGCGCGACGGGCGACGGTCGGACCCGCAGGCGGTCGGTGCCCTGAGACCATCGGACTTGTGAGTACCTGGAAGACCGGTCTCCTCTACTAGGGGGGTCCTGGGCTTCCATGCTTGTTGGAGGGGGGGAAAATGCCCAAATGGAGGACTGACTAGGAGGGGAGCTCTGGTTGTCATATTTTATGATAGATAGATAGATAGATAGATAGATAGATAGATTACTAGATAGATAGATTACTATGTAATCATGGGCCAACAAACATCAACACCCGTCGCCTTGCTGACTCCAGGGCCGATCACTTGCTGGATCCGCCTTCGCACCACCCGGACCCGTGGCATGCGGCCCAGTGGCATGTGTACATCGCGTCTTGAAAGACGTGTCCGGTTGCCGGAGCCGCGCGCAGAGACGCGAGCCATCGAAGAAGGCGTCCTGCTTCCGCGGGTGCGAGCTATGCGCGGCAGTGCGATGCGCTTTGGGAGATGAGATGATGACCAGCTTCCACACATGCATGGATCACAAAAAGGATCCAAACCAGCACCAGGGGTTGTGGGTACAGACACCCCTGATGATATATGTTCCCTCCAATCACCACCTCCATGGTACCACCTCGATGGTGCTGGAAATGAGGGCTCAGCGTACCTTTTCAACTACGCCCCACCCCGAAGGTCGGGACGCACCTGTGCGTCGTTGGTCCATCTTCCACCTGGTGCGGGAAGCCCCAAAAGCACGGGTTTTCAGAAGCTTCTGTTTCTATATGCTTTTATTGGTCCCCTAGGGCTCCAACCATCTCCTGAGAAGGTGGTTGGGGTGGGTTTGGGGGGTCTAACCACCTTCTGAGGATATGGTTGGAGCTCTAGGGGTCCTTCATTCTTTCGTTCCACGTCAGGTTCCTCTTTCTGTAGCTATAGCAGTATACATACTGACAGTACTTCGTTGAATGCAGTGTCACTCAAATGTCGACCGTCCAGCCGTCCAGTCGTCCAGTCATAAGCATCAATCAGAATGGAAACAAAACAACCCACAATTCGGTCAAGGGGGTCTAAACAGTATGAGCAGTTGCCCGGTGTGATCACACTCCCATCTTCTCAAATGCCCATACCCAAGACATCCCACACACGGCTCGGCCGCGTGTGATGGCCTGGTAGGTTCACGGCGGCACCCCGCTGCGACCAGCCCGGCTTGGGGGTCTCCCATTGCTCCCGCGACGTGGCCTGGTGGAGCAGAAGTCGGTCTCCCACGAAGCGCTCGATTGCAGCGCAGCTAAGGCTGAAGGAGTGGTGAACAACTGGAAAAGGGCATTGAAAAGCCATAGAAAAAGGCATGTGATGTCCAAACGAAGGAAGAAGGAGCGAGGGGAAGACGGTGCCGGTCGGTGCCATTGACCGAACTTGGTTGTACACGACCGGGGGGGATCCTCTGTATCAACCAACCAATAGCAAAAGGCCATCTATGCCATAGAACATGACATCTGTGAAGTCGCTGGCTCCCCGCTATTGCAAGAATTGGGCTATTCCAAAGTAGAGGTGGTCTTGGCAAAGTATACCACCATGTCTCTGGATTTGGGTGGATTTCAGACCCTCAGCTGAGTGGAATTTGTTGGAAACCCCTGCCCTCTATGGTTCATCCCTGTCCTCGTTCTGGAACTTCTGGAACTTCTGGACTAGTGACTAGTAGTTTGAAGGTTCCACGGTTCTACCCATGCAAAGCTTCAGGATTTCACCAGCATGGCCCCCATGTCCTCCTCTCTCGCACTCTCGCACGACGTGGAGGACCAAAAAGGCACTCTTCCCACACCGACAGCGAAACCGTCTCAGCTTCCAACAATCGGCTCAACATGCTTGCCGCTTCCGGCCAAGGTGAGCCTCAGGACCCCACACCGGGCGACGCCCGTAGGACACCTTCGATGGTCGGTGGAGCCCTCCACAACCCTCGAGAACCCGGCCAATCAAAGGATGGAAAAGGAGCTGATCCGGAGAGCTTCTGGCGCATGAAATCACCAAAGATCGTTCCCCCATCCCCACACTATACCTTCCATGGCCCAAATAGATCCAAATAGCACATGCCCGGCAGGCCCTCCCCCCGCTCCCTCGGCAGGCCCTCTGAGATCCTAGCACCAGGAGCACCTGGCCGTTCAAGCACCGGACCCGGTCCGTGGGCCTTTGAGATCAGAGTGGGGAGCCCTGGAACAACCTGGGGGTCTCTATCACTAGCCGCTCTGAGAAGATGATTCGGGAGGCTGCCTTCACCTCCTCCTGGTGGGTCCCGGTCAAACGGCGCTGTTCGAGGGAAGTCTGATGGCTCGGGCCCGGGATGCATGCAGAATGACCACCGCGCGCGCGCGACCGGTCGCGCGCCTGCACCAGGCGAAAGGTCATGGTACGCCATGGCATCCGCCAAAGTGGTGAGAATCGGGGCTTGAAGAATCATGATGCTTTTGCTGCCAAATCTCAGTCACCAAGTAGTTGAAGGGGAAAACCCAGGGTTCGCAGGGCTTGCGGATCTGATGATTCTTCCGACATCTCACTCTGTCCAATATCAAAAGGCAGGATCCTCCAGTATCATCCAAGAGATCCAGTAAGTCAACCAGTTTGTTTCCCCATCCATTTCCGGGCGAACCTGTCCTTTGCCCAAAGGAGGCTCCTTAACTGGAAGTGTTCATCTACCCGAGCCGACACGTGCGCCGCGAGTTGGGTGAAGCAGCGGAGCGCGGAGCGCAGGCGCCCGTGCAAGGGCCTGTGTCCCAAAAGGGAAAGGACCAGCAATGGAGGAGAATAAGAGAAGATCCATAATAGGATAGAAGATCTCTTCACCTACTAAATATATCTATAGTTCTTGTTTCTGTATATGTGGAACTTGTGGAAGTGGGCAAAGAATGTACCAACTGAGCATCGTGCATGCGTCCGTTGCCACTGTCCTTCATAAATACATCCACCACCTGCCCAGAGTGCTCGAGTCGTCGCACCGGCTCACGAGCAGCAAGGGCCATGAGGCCGGTGATCTGTGTGCCCATTTGCTGGTTGAAAAAGAGTGTGTCCAATTCATTCGTGAGCTGCAGTTGAAGAAATGACTCTGATAGAGACTGATCATGGCACAAAATTCTGCAAGAATTCCTGGCCGGGCAATTCCTGGAATCTGCTCCCGATAAGTCTCTCAGCCCCGCTAGCATTGTCACTTCCTCACAACGTCACATTAAGCATGAATCTGATTCCGTGATACAACTGCATGCTGCCGTTGAGGTTTGCTGCCGCAAAACATTGCCAATGGTTGATATGCACGGGGTTGATCTAAACCTCCTTTCAAAACCTTTCCAAGTGAAAAGAACAATGAATTAACTATACTCTATGGCCATGGCCATGAAAAAATATGAAGCCTTTAGATCAACCCGCACTTTCCAAACGTTCGGTATGACAAGCCAGGGTGCCAGGTCACTTGCTGAGTCACTTGCTAAACGTTTCGTTTAGGCACCCATCAGCGCCATCGACGAGTCCTCCCATCGACGGGATCCTTTGAATGCACAAGGTTGATTGCTGCAATTGTGTTGCACATTGCATTTGATTCTGCGGGACAGAAAGAAACTCGTCAGAAACCGCGTTTAAAAAATAAGAGACATCAACGGTTCTGCCATAGTGTCACAATGCTTTGGCCATTGAATTTCTGCTGCCAAATGTTTCTGCTTCCTTTATGGAACAACCCGCTGAGAAAAAGTCGTCCAACACAAGACCTCGGTGGAACTCGGCGTCTCGGTTGTGAAGATACCACATCGTTTCAACAGCCGGGTACTGACATCGCAGCACTGGCATTAGCTTGAAGCAAAGTGCACAGCTGAAGTACTGGGGGGTGCTTTTGACCATACTGCGACAAGCCGAATAAGGCCCTCACAGCGAAAACGCTAAACCTTGTCTCACTCTGGTGTCAAATGATTGAAGGATCTTCCATGCCAGATGACAAAGTTCTGACAAGCTTGGAATGAGCCATGTTCAATGTCCATCCACTAGGCGCATTCACAAGGAGAAAATGCACAAGACTGGAAATTGCAAAGTATCAAGCACCTGTGTGACATTTCCAGTCTGCTCTTGTGAACATCTTTGGGCTATCACAGGCTATCACGGTGAGGTCGCCACGAGGAATGCGTACCAGGGCAGTTTCAAATCACAAGTTCGTACAGTACCCGGGCCATGTGGGTGAAAGCAATCACCTTCGTTAGGCAAGCTGAGAAGCACGGAGTACTCTGAACATCGATCATAACTAGACAAAGAATCCAATTGATTCTGATCTTCACATTGCACACATATCTTCAATGCTCTCTTCCGCTGCTACCGTCTCTCAGCCGCAAAAACGGGATGTCCGGACGCCGACCTGGCCTGGCCCACCTTGCTGAACTCGTCGCGGAGGTGCTGCTGGGTCGCGCCGAAGGGGATGCCACCCACCCAAAGCCTGGCAGTGGCAGAGTTCGGCGTGGCATTTTGAGCGTTTCTTCTCAAAAGCCGCACAGCCCGGTTTTTGGACCCCAGTTGTTTCATAGATGTTGACAAAATCCGTGTTGACATGGTCAATGGCGCAAAAACTGACAGGAGGCGTAGCCCAATGGCTGGTGTGCCGATGTCTGGTCCTGCCTTTCTTTGAAAATTCCGTTCTGCAAACCCACCCGAACGCGGGCCTCCACCCCCGAGTGCTCCCTTCACTCATGACCGAATCCAGGTAAACCCCTGGCGCATTCTCCCCCTGAAACCAGCTGCGATGGTTCGCTCAAGCAAACCGAGGGGCTGGCAAATGTCACAGTGGTAGCCTGTGTGCTTTGCCTATAGTGAACAATGCAAAAACTGAACAGATTCTGAGAGTTGGTTGCTCCCACCACTCAGGAGTGTTGATGGGGCATCTGATGGGTCATCACTTGGCACCCTAGATCTTGGAGGGTTCATTCTCCATGCAACAGCGGGTCCTGTGTACCAAAAGGCTCTGACTCAACCCGGTCCCGTGGAAAAAAAATTGAAGAAACCCATCTTTCCAGCCAACACACCCCGCTTGAACACCGTTTTTTAATGCCGGTTCTTGAATTTTCCTTTGGCCCCCTCCGATGTCACGCCGAACGGTCTTGTGCCGGTTACAGCCGCTCCTTCAAACCCGCCACCCTTCAGCCCACCACTTCCGAAGCGCCCGAAGCACCGAGGCTCCGCACTTGCACGGGTTGTCCGAACGCGGGCGAACTTGCAAGGGCCTCTGAGCAAGCCGAGCGAGGCTGAGGCGGCCGCCCCGGCGGTGGGGACGTTGTCCGGTGTTCGGGCGAACGGGCGAGGTCGGGGCGTCGGTCGAAGCTGGGACGGTTGGACGGAGGACGGTTGGACACCGTTTTGGGGATTGGAACCAAAAAGGAGAAGGAGTGAACCTCATCTGGGACGAAAAAAACAAAAGATGGATCGTCACCTCTTCCGAATCCCATCTGCCTTTGCCAAGCTGGATCCACGATCCCTTCGGTCCCCCCCTTTCTTCCCCCCGATTCACCGCGCCCGAGCCCCCGCGCTGGTCCGCCACGGGAGCTGGCGTGCCATAGGCCGCCTGCGGGCGGCACCGGAGGTCCCGTGGAGTCCCACACGTCTCGGACAACAAGGTCTCTAGCGCAGTTCCTTGGGCGGCTCCCATCTTCACACCTTCATTGCGCACCTCTTCACCTCTTGGGTGGTGTGAAAGACCGGCTGCTCTCATCGGCAGAGACCCGTTCGTTCGTCTCATCGGAGCGGAACGACTCCCCGTTTTCCGTCTCAACGCATCTTTTCCAACCGCCGGAGGATGGCTCAATCGCCGAACGACCACTCAATCTCTGGCGTGTTGCACGAAGAGCCCTGGAGTCAGACGATGGGAGCGAGCGATCTTCGGGGCCGGAGTCCAATGGCTATGGATCACAAACTATGCTCATAGACTTATAGACAACAGCTCGTACATCCATGAGGAAACATATATCAAATCAAAAAGGATTTCCATACGTCGCGACTGGCCATCTCCTCCTCCCTTTTCATCTCGTTTTATGGGTCTTTTTGGCCACTGGGGAAACTGGATGATCTCCATATTGCTTACGTTCATCTCGACTGTGACACATGATGTTCCATGACTCGACCTGATTGAGACATCAAGCCATCAAGCCAACCCCCATTCAAGTCTGACAGAAAGCCTTAAGTCCGAGCCCCTAACCAAGCAATGACCAAGAAACTGGGGAACATCCGAAACTGAGTACTTCTTCCGCCAACGACTTCCAGACGCCACTTCGCCCTCCCCACCCGGTGTCCACCTCGTCGCCGCCCACGCGGCGTCCGGCGACGGGCGGGGGTCCACGGACCGGCGTTCGGGTCGCTGGCGCCTGGAGGTCGGGGCGTCGATGGGATGCGGTGTGGAGCGACGCAAGGACGACGTGTTGCGATGTGTTGGGCTCCAAAAGCCTGGGAGAAGACTCTGAAGTCTTAAGCCGAAGATTTGGAATCGGGATGTTTGGTCTGACTTCTACTTCAATCATCAAGAGTTAGCATTGAAGCTGCAAGCCGCCTGAGGACCGACGTTCATCCTGGCAAGGCTCCAGCAAAAGCTGGACCTGGCACAAGCCGTTTGCCGCAAGAACTTTTCACCAGGGAAGACCATTCCTTCAAAAAAGCTTCAAGTGGAATTCCTTAGTTTGAGACCAGAAACTCACTCAGCATCCACTGGAAAGCTGTCCCAATCTTGTTGTCTCACTCTCATCACATAGATGTGTAGAACACCGTGATCTTTAGCCATTACATATCACTCCATCAGCCATTCTCCCACACCTTCTCCCCAATCTGCTCACCTCCATCACTTCTTCAACTCCTTCACTGCGTTCCCAAAGCACGGCAGGTAGATCTCCCGCGCCGCGAGGCCCGGAAACGCCGCGGCGCCTTCGGCGCCCTCGAGGCGCAGGGCCCCGGCGGGTGCCTCCACCGCCCCGCGGCCGAGCACTGGCCTGTTCAGTCGGAGTCCGAAGACGTCGGGGGAACTCGGTTGGGTGAACAAGCGTGGAGGCCCAAGAGGAAATACGAGGAAAGAGCAAATCCATGATGGTCATTGATTTCAGTCTATCTATTTGTCTTTTTTGTGTCTGTGGAAAGATCTCTAATGTACCAGTATAGAATACCAATGATTCTTCATTCTCAATCACTATATAGAATCAGAATGAAGAATCCTGTAAGACCAAGATATGAAAATCGACCCGGACTCCTCTTTGAATGTTTTTGGGCACAAACCTGTCAACAACCAAAACTTGCCATTTTGGACCCTCCAGCAGACAAAAGGATGTTTACCCCAAAAGGAGGTTACCTTCGTCATGGTCATCTAGATCGATTGATTTCGGCCGCGAATCTAGCGCACCGATCTTTGGACTGCACAAGGCACACACCGATCCCCCAAAGAAGCAGCCCAAGGCACACCAAGGGGTAGTCTTCATCGAAGGAGTCTCGAATCCCAGGCACCACTTGGCTCCCCGTGGGGCAGTAGCGCACGATCCACGCCAGGCGCCGCCGCTCCGAGCGATTGGGCTCGGAGCGGTGGATGGTGTAGGCCGAATGGAACTCCGCCTGGAGCGTAAAGCGGTCGGAGCACTCACCCGTTTGCTGCCAAATTTGCGGGGAACGAGCACCAGCTGGGTCACAGAATTGGAAAGTTTTCAGCCACTTCCATTTGCGAAAAAGGGGGGATCTCCTGACAGACCGCAAGAAGGACACCTCCATGGACATCCTGACAATCCCATTGTCGGGGAGATCTTTGCAATGAACAATTCGAGCAAAGGTCTTGAGAGCCCCAGCGGAATCGATCTGGATCCGACCGACTCGATTCCGGATCCAGCCTCAGACTCGGAATCGGAGGGACTTCCCTGGGAGTGGGGCTCAGCCCCCCACGGAAGCAAAAGGGTCCATTCTTGGGGCCAAACCAGCACAGCTTAGGGACCCACCAACTCAGACCCACATCGATCACTGGTTCCGGGCCGGGCGAGGCACCTCCCCACGCTGCAAGAGCACGGGCCGCTTCTGGGCGACGTTCAGCTTCGAGGAGTCCTGGAGCAGTGGCGAGGCGAGCACCGCGCGCGGCGCGCGGCGGCTCGCTGTGGGTGGGCCGAGCAGAGCGCGGCGAGGGCCCAACGGAGCGACACCGTTTTTGCACCTTCGCAGATCTGCGGGATCCGAGCAGATCTGTCCACATGCGCATGGCACGGCGGGGCGTATTGGCACGGCACGGTGCGTGTAGCATGGCACAGCGCGGGCACGCATGGCACATCGGAGGGCACGATCGGGTCGTGGGTTTTGGTGCCTTCTTTTCTAGCCAGCCATTCATATATGTGAGCAGTCTGTCCGTGCTCCACCCAGGTGGTCGAGCTATATTTTTGCCATCTATCCATCTCACCTAACAATCTATCTTTCTGAATGGACACGTTGTCCCGCTTCAAGGTGTGGAATTGCCTAGTATCGATGTATGCTGTATGCTGGATACTAAGGTGGCTTCCCCAAATAATGTTGTACCAAAATTTCCATGAGGAAGAAGGAACAGGCCCTCGGGGCCCTCATCCGAATTGCAGAGATAAATATATTACGATTGATCTCAGCCAAAACGCTGTGTGACAGGTCCAAACTCCAACATCAGATGAATCAGATGTGTTGAAGTCCTTGCGGTCTGTGGCCCGTTGCCTTACTGGCTGCACCCAACTGGCTGCCCCCCCACTTCGCCCGCAGTCAACGGACGCCCAGACCCGGTCGGCGGTCCAAGGAGAGGTTGAAGTTGTCGAACGCCTTCGTGGAACCACCGGAGTCCAAGATGAACTCCTCATCGCCGCCCGGAGGGCGCGTTCGCGGCCAGCGGCCAACGCCAGCGCACCGGATAAGGGATGATTTTGGGGATTGTGGTGATCTTTGTAATGATTGGGGGTAGATGAGAGGCTGAGACTGATTAGGCTGGCCAGCTGACCCTTTTAGATTGGTTCACCATGGACTGGATGAATTGACACCATACCGGGGCGTTTTTGGACGCTTGCGTTGAAAAATTTTGCTAACACATACAGTACCTCTTGCACCCACCCTCATCCCCACCTCTGCCTAGAACTCCTCCCTTTTCCTCCCCTCCCATCATCGCCCCCTCTCCATCTCCCTCCTGGGGCAAGTTCCGCCGGCTTTCTGGCTGGGCGCTGAAGGGCAGCACCTCCATGGCACCGTTCTCCCGGGTGACCTCGTCCAGCGCCAGCCACAAGCTCGTCACCCGCGGCGCGGGCGTCAGCGTTCCCGCGTCGAAGGGATCGGTCAGGGGCCAATAGTTGGAATCCTGGGCTCCACGCAACGCGGCTGCCCTGGTTCCCGGCCCCCAAATCGGTCCATGGTCCCTCCCTCGAAAGCATCGGAACAGGTCCATCTCTCTCCATGTGGCCTTCCGACATAGAGAGAGAGAGAGAGAGAAAAAAAAACCAACGATGGGACGTCTCGTGACTCCGCTCGCGGTCGCCCACTCGGCACCTGGTGCCAGACGATCTCCTTTCCGGTGCCTGGTTCTTTGCACAAGATCCGCGAGGTGAACACACTCACGTCCTGGCACCGTGGACGGAAGAGGCGTGGACGGAATTCGCCGTAGAAGCAGCAGGAACCATGGAGCTCTGTATCAGCCAAAAGAGGTTAAGCGACCTTATAGGACCATACTGAGGTATCTATGGGATAGTTCAAAGGGCTCTTCAACCTTTGCTGGAGGAGTATCCTGTCTGGGTGTCCTGTCTGTAGATCTCTTTTCTAGGGTAGTCCAAAAAGGACACCCATGGGAGTGATGTGGGATGTGCACTTCTTGGTGGCAGTTTTGATGGGCACCCGGTAGGGCAATTAAAAATAAAGTGACCGCTTCTTTTGGTCCTTTTCTTCTCAGGCTGAGATCCCTGATCTCATCCAGCCAAGCAGCTCCAATCTTCAGTTCATTGTTTAAAAAATGATTCAAAAAGTGGAAGTGCCGGTTGCTCGCACCTGGCGGCTCACTCCCGCCCATCCACTCATCACATCGCCCATCCGCGGCACTCCTGGCAGCCCAAGATCTGGGCGGCGACTTCCAGCACCGACGGCTCTCGACAAAGCTCCCAGACTTCCTGGCGCGGGCGGTTTCCGCGCGGGACCGGGCGCGAAGAAAGGGCTAGCGCGAAGAAAGGATGGGTCGCTGAGCTTCATCTGGAGCTTCAAAAGAAAAGAGGTTGCACGGTGTACCTCTCAGAAGTCAAAGGTTGACCCCCCGCAAGATTCAGGTGCATGCTGCCTGTGACATAGACTTTACACCTTCGTTCATCCCGGGCCGTGTGTGCGTCCCTCGTAAGCAGGCTCACAAGCACCGAATGTTCTTTTCCAGGCCACACGCGCCCCGCAACGCGTACGTGTGTAAAAGGCCTTGCAGGTGAGGTGCAAGTTCAGCAGATCTTCCGGCGCCAAAGTCTGCTCGTCGCCCTTCTCCACCTCCCCAAGGTCCCAAACTCACCGGGGGGGCGCTGGTTGAGCTGGTGCTGGGTCGAAAGTCTCCACGAGAAAAAGAAAGAAACGATGTCGCACACAAGGTCAGCTCTTCCTTTGGAACTCCGAACCCCCCCAACACTTGGCCTGTCCTTTTTGGAACTCCTCCGACCAGTCTCCTTTTTTGAATACATTTCTTGGAAAAACCACCCGTCTCCATGCTCTTTGGACCCTTCTCCGCATCATTCGGTGGTCGTGGTTCGGCATCCCGTTCGGCCGCAGCCCGCCTGTGGCCGTTCGGCCACCAGGGTGGACAGCAGCCGGTCGATCTCCTCCAGGCGCTCAGGACGAAAGAGGCCTCGGACCTCGGACGCGGGTGGTCGAGCCAAGGACTAGGATGTGAGTTGGAAAGCGGGAGAGGATGCTGCGAAGGCTGTGTGGCTCTGGGAGAGGGTAGGAGGGTTGCCAAATGTTGTCAAAGTTGCTGGAAAAATGCAACCATCAGCTTCATACTGTTTCAGCTGCTCAGGCTCCATGGGTGCGGCCCCAGTTCAGCGAAGCACACCGTCAAAACCTCGTGGGCAGAACCTCTGGGCAAATGGTCAGGTTTGGATGAGTCGATCCCACACTCACCCAAGACAAACCGATGACCTTTCACCAACGAAAACGACCACAAGACCACCTGTCAGCCTCCTGAATCCCCGCAAAGAACTGATGAATGGAGAGACCTCTGGTGCCAACTCTACTGTCTACTGCCATGAGCAGCAACTCTATGAGCCAAACAGCAGCACACGGCGGTTTGGTCTCCGGGACACTGCCAGACGTCCACATCCCGGCCGTCTTCCGGAAGTTGGTGAAAGCTATGGACATAAACAAGATCCGTAGCGAAACAACGGGAGGAACCACCGCAGAGGGCTTCAAATGTGCTCAATGAAACCGTCTACGAACAACGTCCATTCCATGTTTCCTGACAAGTTCGCTTGAACACCCCCCAAAAGCAGGCAAGCTTGGGTCTCTGGTCCATAGTTTCAAAACACATGCCATCCAAGCTCGTCCGAAAGTCCCGCCGCGGTTCGGAGCCCTCTGGGCTCTCCGGGCTCAACCCGAAAGCGGGGGTGTTGGGGTGAAGACTCCCGACCGGCGGGGTGAAGACTCCGGAAGCCTCGCCTGTGGGGTGAAGACTCCCGACCTGGGAGCAAGGCGATTCCACGGGCGTTCGACCGCCCCAGAGCTGAACACCAAAGCCCTGGAGCGATGGCCAGCTGAGCTGTGAACAACGCACTGCATCAGAACGGTGGTGTGAATGCTCCCCAGGGGCGGACATATCAAAACCATCAAGTCAGTGCCCATGGCGAAACCTCGCGGATCTAGCATGGATCTCAAATGATCAACACTTATGGGACTCCAGTGTCATGACCCCAAGAAAATGCCAGTGAATTCCAGTAGATCGCATCTCCCTTTTTGATGGATTGCCATGGCGGAGTCCCTTTGGAACGGATCGCTGTACACTCTAACACATAACCAGGGAAGTGGATGGCAAGTTATATACAGTAGTGAGTCGGAGACGTATCTGTAGCGTCCGATCCCGTTATCCAAAACCCTGAAAGATCACCCAAGAATGCACAACTCCCCATCTCCATCTTTCAGATCTCTCAACTCAATTGCTGCCTCCCATGCAAACCTCCTTCTCTGCTGCCTCTTGGGTTCCTCTTCTCTTCGTTGGCACCCCGGCTGATAAGCGGTGAGCGCGGCATTGGCGCCATTGGCATCCGCGAAGGTGACGAAGCCCCACCTTGGACCGGGGTCGACTTGGTCGACCATCGAAGGACCGAAGGACCCAACAAAACCGGTGTCCACATGACTCCCCTGCAGGTGTCCACATGGAACCCCAATACCGCACCCAGTTGGTCGAAAATCGTCGAGGGTCAATCGGTCAATCGGTCAATTCTCAAGTTCCATGGGATCCTTTGCAAACGACCGGGCCCGGCCTTTGGGCCCGGCCATTCGTCATCGCAGTTGGACTGCCGTTGATCCCATCCCTTCGTCTTCGTCCCAAAACCGTCCGGGTCACCGAAGTCTTCGGTGACCGGGTCACGTCCTCTTACCGGGGCGTTTTCAGATGTGGCCGTGTGCCTCTGTTGAGTCCTTCAACGTGAGTCACAGGTTCCATATTGCTTTGTTGGAGCTCTTGCCAAGGATGGAACATCCTAGACCGTTTCAAGACTCGGATCTGCCAGACTCCCAGACTTCCATCTGAAGTCCCTCCTTTTCTTCGGATCTGCCTATGGGCCCATCCCGCAGGCGGAAGGCGAACGCACAGATCCATCCGGGTTTTCTCCGTTGGAACCCGAGGCACATCCGCCCGTACACTTTGCCATCATCCCGAAGGTAGACATCCTGGACCTGAGTCGACTGGGCACGGCACGAGCTGATGTTGCGCAGCGCAAAAGCAGGTGAACCCTCTCCAGTCCCGTTGAGCCGCCCGGCAGGCCCATACTTCGTGAACTCGTGCCAAATCACGTCCTACCAGGACAAAAAAAGGCACAGGACGTTCACTTGAGTTTCCCGAAAGCAATCCTAAACTTCATCTGCTCACATTCACCCACGGCCATCTTTAATCAACTACATTTCTCACATCCTAGCGACTCCCAATCTTCATATGCCCCTCTTACTCACGTGGCCGCAGTGGTCTGCGGAACGGTTCAGAACATCTCTGACCCACACCGACACCGACGCTCTCCGAGTACATCCCACGTCTCTTCCGACGTCCTTGTGGGTGCCCAAGGGGATCTGGCCCACCCAAATCTTGTTGCCCGCATCGTTGGTGTGCGTCGCCATCTTGATCTCCAAACCTTTCACGTCCCTTCTCAGACGACCGGGTCGGACCGGGTCGTCCCGTCCACCCGACCGGTGGGAGACGGGTCGGGTCGTCGTCGGACATCGATGGTGCCGGTGGGCGGTTCCGAGGAAGACGGTGGGTGGTTCTTTCGACCGTGCCGAGAGTAGTAAATCCCAGAACAAGGACCCAGCTCTCAAGTGTCCTCTAGACCATCTGAAGCATCCTTTGAAGCAGTTCAGAATCATTCAGATCAAGCCTGGCAGCCTGGTTCCACCCTGTGGTGAGCACACCATGCATACGACCCTTCGAGCATCACAGCATGCTTGAGCTTCCGAATGCGCCTGCAGGAAACGCGCAGCCGCCGCAGCCGCATGCGCCGCAACCGCCACAGCCACAACCACCACAACCACAACCGCCACAGCCGTACCTTGGCTAGAATGGCCAGTTGGCAAAAGGAATTGATGGCACGAAGATCTTCAATTTCAGTGGGAATCCTCATGTGGGGGATACATGGGGATACGGTGAAACCCCACCCACGGTGCCATGTTGGGTGAACATCAGTGAACATCCTTAGAATAACCTTAGAATAATAGACGACTAAAACTGTAGATGTGCTATCTACTGGGGTTCCAATTCGCTCGGACAGCGGCCGAACTGGGCACAGAGCGGCCAAACTGGGCACCTCTGGGGCTCCTGCTGTTGGTCGTATGGACCCTGCTGGTACTGAGACTGCCGTTGTGCCATCTGCGGAAGCGCGGAGGGAAACCAGAAACTGACAAACTTGAGAGGAAATCAAGAGAAAGCCAGGTCGGTCTGGAACCAAAAGAGCTTCCGGCAGACTACACCCGCGACCATATCCATCCGAGAGAGAGCTCCACTCCACTCCTCCCAGATCCCGCCTTCCCGCGTGACTGGGAGAAGACCACCTTAATGGGGTTTGTGAGGCCTGCCGGCACGTTCCTGGCAGCGAGCTCCAGAGCCCTGGAGAACACCAGTAGATTGCAGAGTCGCCCGCACCAACAGCAAGCATTACTTCGAAGTCGTCTGCATGAATGTATTATTTGTTTGTTCAGATCTTTTCAGGAAACCTGACGAATCTTGTTGAGAGATTCTACTGCAATGGTTCTAGTCCTCTTGAAAGGACTCTGACCTACGAAATCCAACGGGTTCCAACCTCATCTCACGTCTCACACTGGGAAGCCCCGCCCAGCCCCAAGAGTTTCGGCCTACACCCTTGCCAGCAGAAGAGTTCACGGATGTTCACAGTTCTGCAGATGTTCACAGTTACCGTGGTTCAGCTTCTTCACCATACCCCATCTCCAAGACCCACCACGACATGCCCCCGGCCCGTTGAGGTTCTGCACGATCCACGCAGCCTGTCCCTGAGCAGACGACCAGCACCCCACCCACGTGAAGCTGGTGTACTCTGACAGCCGACCCAACTAACCCAACCCAGCCCACCAGTATTTGCACAATGTGTGATGTAGGCCGCGCACAGTACAGACGCGACAAGAACCATAACTGGATAAGATAAGAAACAAAGCTACACTGTATAGTACAGTACAGTGCAACTCAAGTTAGAAGAGGAAGAAAAATGAATTCAACTTTTTAATTCAAACACCTGATTCGAGGCAGTTTCTGGCAACGAAACCGAAATTGAGTGCATTGCTCAAAATAATGACCATTTTGTACCAGCCAACCAGCTAACCAACCAACCAACCTTTCAGTGTTTCCCTCACAAGCACCCAATGCTCAACACGTCATTTTCCATTCCAACACCGTCATGCTCCAGCTACCAAGCTGCCACGTCGATCATCTCGACCAGCCCGGCGCGGTCTTGCATCCCATTGTTGGGCAGCACCTTGCAGCGGACCACCTCGGTTCTCACCGACGCAGAGGCTCCGCGAAGCACCCGTGCCGCGCCGTTTCACCCACCGATCTCTGCTTCGGTGTCGTCCGCGAGGGCTCCCGGCAGGTGAAGGGGGGGGTGCCATCCACGTAACCACCATGTGTTCGTCGGATGTGGGGGTCTCAGTCCAGTGGTCCAACCTTCCAAAGCTAAGCTTTGGAGGTTCTTGGGTTTTGTGTCGCGAAGGCATGAATGAGACTTAAAAATACTTCAAAAGGACCCGCGGCATGAAAAAAGCTCGGGCCCCTTGGCAGTGCCGTAGAAGGTGAACAACTCGCGCAGCTGCTTCTCATCAATCTCTGCAGGCCTCGGGGTTCCAGGTCCCAAGCCGAAGAGGTGAGGCTGTCTTGGCAAAACAACGGGAAAGAAAATCGTGGAGGGCCAACCCAAAGGTCATTAGGTGTTTTGCGCTTTGAAGTCACTCCCCTCAAAACACTCCACTCGAAAACGCACGCCCGGCGGAGGTGGTTCGGAGGACACCCACCCCACACCGTCTGACTCCAATTCCATGTAAATGGACTCCCCAAAGAAAGGATAAGAAAGGTGGAGAAGAGCTCCCGGCAGTGAAGTCGAGAAAACACTGTGAAAGTGGATGAAATCTGGGCATTCTGTCAACTACCCTGGGACTTCGACCAACAGGTGCGTAGCACGCTTGAACGTGAGACTGTTGATTCATTGAAACCCCCTCTCCCAAAGAGGCTTAAAAATATCCATACTACTGGGAGCATTTCTCAAGTGTCGACATTCTGTCGCAGGCAAGTCAAGAACTGGGGAAGTGTCTGCGGCATAATCCATTTCAACCAGTCCGTTCCGTTCCACACGAACATCTCCAACTGTGCCCTGTGCTCTGTTGGTCCCACAAAGGTGCAAGAGACACCGTTGGCAAAGGACAAGCATGTTTTCCATCTTGTCCTACTTCCTGTGTTGGGTTCACCTGTTTCAGCAAAACGGACAGGTTGAAAAAGTCCAAGCACTTGGCAACGGACTAAAAGACAGATCGATATCAATCCAAAACCCCAGGATGAGTCTTGGATTCCAGTCACCTGCCTTGACACCGTTCTGCTGTGCTGCACCTCTCACACTAGCCAGCCTCGGTGTTGTCGTCGCCCCCCCTCCGCACCCCACATGCTTTCGCCACAAGACAAGCCCGTGATGAACAGGTTCTCGCACGGATCGTTCCTCGCAGGTGAGTCACGGATCGTGTGTCCGGCGTCAAAGCTAAGAGTTCCCGTTCCCAAGGAGATGGCGCTTTCCGGGGCCCCTTAAACCGTAAGGGCATGGTAGGTGAGGCAATCATGGCTGGAAAGCGTAAGGGAAATCCTTCCTGGACAAATCATGAAACCTGCCGTTCTTTCCTTTCAAGGGGCCAATCTGTTTCAACCCATCTTCAACAAACAACGGAACCCTCGCGCAAAACTCCGTCCGCGGAGAAACACCGTGAACAGTTCAGAGAGCGCTGCTCCTGCCAGGTGGTCCAGCCTTGCCATAGCTGGAGGTCGTAGCACCTCACCGCATGTCGCGGCTTGGTCGGCTTGGTCGGGGTTTTGGGGCACCTGGTGGTTTTGGCCAGCCCAAAACGAAGGGATGCCTATCAAGCAGATGATGATAGATGACCAAGCAAAAGTTTCGAGTGCTGATACAGAAGTTGCAATGCGCTTCTACAGTTCTAAAGCATCTGAGGCTGGGGCCCATGCCCATGGCACCGCCCATTTGCATCCCTTGCATGCCTTGCATGCCCTGCATTCCCTGCATGCAACCCATGTTGTTGCCCATGCAGCCACAGCCATATCCACAGCCGCCACAGCCACATCCCTGGCAACCCATGTTGTTGCCCATGCAGCCACAACCTTGACAGCCGCAGCCTTGACAGCCGCAGCCTTGGCAGCCGCAGCCTTGACAACCGCAGCCTCCGCAACAGCCTTGGCACCCCTGGCACCCCTGGCATCCTTGGCAACCCTGGCAGCCACAGCAGTTTCCACCATAGCCTAGGATCAAGCAACATGGTTTTGTGGGGTGCAGCTAAGTTGACCAACCACTAGGTTTCACAGGTTTCAGCTGATATTCCTTATCCAAGGATCTTTGCGGGGTCTTTCCTGTTTCAAGACCCACACTAACACACTACGGAGACATCGACCAATCTCAAGACCCCGTTGGATCCGGCCACGATTGAAGCAACAAAGAAAACCCACGTAAAATGAAATCTCAAAGGTCCCTGCATAGCCTTGGTTGCAAAAGAACTGCATTGCAGGACAATAAGAGCTGCCCATTGACCAGTGACTCAGGGTCCAGAAGCCACCCACATTTTTTGTCCCGGAACATGACAACTAAGCCGCAAAAACGGGCCCCCTGCTTCTGCACATTGCGCGAAAAATTACGGAAACAAAAAATGAAACGAGGGCGGTAGATGGTACCAATATGTCTGGTTACGACCGGTAACAGGTGGCACTACCCCGCCCTCTACTTATCTTATTGCTGTAGATGAAGAATGGCATTCCATGAGTATATTGGTCACAAAAAATCTGAGATCTGACCAGAAGCAGTTGCAGCCTCCGCAGCCACAGCCTCCACAGCAGCCTCCGCACTGCCCACATCCACCGCAGCCAGCGCATCCTTGGCAGCCTCCACATCCTGCGTGAAGGATTGCACTTTGGGTCACAAACCCAAAGGAAGCCTGCTTGGGTTTCTTTCTTCCTAAGACCGCACTTGACACTTGCCGTTGTTGCGTTGGGATATATAATCTGGATCTTGGCTGGTGGAGCTTTCTACACTAACTAAATTGTTCTCACATCAGACAAGCTGCCATGATACATCCAACTACTATTCCAAAGTTTGACATCATTAACTTGCCGTCATTTCAGCCATGATTAGATCTCAATGAGATACTAACTCAATTCTTCTTTTTCCGGGCGCTCCACCCTATCCAAAATCTTAGCACCGTGTCTCGAACCAAGCCACCATGGAAGAAGCCACAACTCTTCAGGCAAGACAGAGTAAGTACCCGCAACTGGCTCTGCTTTGCGGGCTGAAAGTGCTGCAAGCCAAGTCTGGTCTGCGGTACCCCCTCCGAAGGCCCCGCACCACCCATCCCACTTCACAAATGGACATGGCCTCCCTTCTTCACTCACAGACTCTGCTGGATCGGTACCAGATGCCCTTTGCTTCTTGCGAGGACTGTTCGCAAGGAACTGTTGAAGCTCTCAACCTTCAGCTGGGCGCTCCCATGCTGCTTACCAGGTGCTCCACTTTCATTCTCTGCTCAGCCTCCCACCGAGCCCCGCCTGCCCTCTTGGTTGAAAGCGTTGCATACCACTGCCGAGCTTTAGCCCGGACTCGTGAGCCGAGATTTTCCACCAACACTTTTTGTCAGCCTCCCGCGCAAGGGCAAACTAGGGCAATGCCTGCTTCTTCGTGCGCATTCGAAAGCAGCCAGGGCCTGAGACCTGCGGGCACTTAGTGCCAAGAGGGCAGAAAGCCAGGGCGATGTGCTTGAAGTGTTCAAAAACTTCTTACCAGTTGCTGAGTTGTTGGACTGAGCAACTGGTAACTGGAAGAAGTTGTTGAAAGCTTCAAGCACTTCTCTTCGAAGGCATGTCACTGCTGTCACTGCCTGGGTGGTAGGCCAGCAGGGCCTTGTGCCTTGAAGCCTTGAGCTGGTCCACTCCAAGCTGCTCCACGTCCGCGACCCAAAGCCCATTGGTGCTGGCTTTTCACCATCTGGTCCGCATCCATGCTGGAGGAAAAAGGAAGCATGGTTTGAAGGACAAGTCGGACAAGTCTCAGTCTCGAGCAGCAGCGCACATGTTCGCTTTGATGCTGCTTAGCCTTCAAGCAACTGATTGGCAAGATTGACACCGGCAAGACGCAGCCTTCAAGGCCTTCAAGCAACTCTCCTCAAAATTCACTTCACAAACTACCTATGTACCGTGACTCACCACAACTCACATCATCTTTGATATCCAAATGGATTGCCAAGGCCACCTGTCCTTGACAAGCTCCGCATTTCCCACACGCACCGCAGCCGCAGGCATCGCAGCCACCGCACTGTCCACAGCATCCTTCACAAGAACCACTCAAGAAGTGGAAACGCTTTGGCTGTGAAGCAAGAATGGAAGAGGACACATAACCGGCTGGCACTGGATTTGGTTGCTTTTTTTGCTGGCTCAAGAAGATCCGGGGGGGATGAAACTTCCTGCTGAAGGTTCGGTCTTTGTACAACCCAAGCTGGAAACCCTACCATGCATCAGCATTCAACTGACTCACAGGCCTCCACAGCCACAACCTCCACAGCCATAGCCACACTGCTGGGCACAGCAGCCGCCACAAGGATCTTGCACCACTTGCTCCTGTGGCACCTGTGCCACTTGCGCAACCTGAGGAGGCTGCCACATCTGCGGTGGCGGCTAAGTATGTGATGCAATTAGAACCATCTGAAACCTCTGCGACTCTACGTATCGAGATATGAATTTGTTCTGACCTTTCAAAGATCTAAGAAATCCATCAGAAAGCGCTTCACACAAGGTGAGCCAACCAATCGAATCCTGCGAGCCCTAAAACCAAAGCGATCACACTGCCCTCCCTGCCTGTGGCACCTGTTGCATTGGAGCGCCCACCACCACGCACTTTGTGGCCTCGTAGCTGGTCTTGGCCTGTTCCGAGTGGCGCGTCCCGAAAAGAGCGTCCAAAATCAATTCTCTCAGGCAGGCCCAGAATATCACCATGCAAGCTATAGTCGATCATGAGTTCTGAGTTCTGAGGCCTTTTAATGATCCCAGAATACAAGTGAGACTATTCTACCGGCTTCGCTGGGTGGGAAAGGAACAAGACCCAATCCATCCTCCATCCCCACCCCCCAACCACCGCCCAACAGTCGAATGGCGGTCCGCCTCTGACAGGTCCGCCTCCAACTGCACTGCGCAGCCAACGCAGATCTCTTGAGGACCCAAGACCTCCAGCTTCGGCGAAAGCCAACACTTCGGGGGAGGAAACCGCGTCCGCCGGAGCGGAAACCGCGTTTCGTCTCTCTGGGCTCCCCGGGCGCTTCGGCGCACCACAATGTCCAACGCCCCATCCTCGCACAGGTCGTTCGGGCGAACGGTTTGGGGACAGCGAGGTCAGTGCTGTTGATAGAAGAAAATCCCACAACGTCCCACACCACACCTTCTTTGTTTTTCCTGCATTCCTGTGGTGGTTCTGAATGGTGCAGGGTTTCTTCCAGAACTCCACTTTTCGGAGAGACTGCTCAGGAGTGAGGATGCGCAGGTGTCTTTATTGTGTGCGCTGCGGGGCCACCGAAATGATGAAAAAACAGATCGCAAAAAGCGAACATCCCAGCAAGAACCCTGATTCACTTGGATCGTCCCTTCAAATACATGCAACACATGCAACACAGCTCTCTTCAGAGATCATCCGGCAGCAAACGCCCACATCCATTCAGCACAACACCCGCGTGGTGCGATTGCGATTGATACAGGTGCGATATATACGCCCGACGCAGGGTGCCTTAGAACTGTGAGTCCTCAGGACCTTTTTGTAGGGAATTTGGGAATCTCTGGACTGGACTTGGAACACGTGACACCTCTATGGAAAACAGAGGACTCTGGGATGCTTTGGGGGTGTTTCAAGTTCTCAGCACTTCGACAGGCTCCAGTCCAACCGACATCAACGTCTGTCGTACCACAAGACTGGCTGACCAAGATGGAAGCTGGCTGAAAAATCCGAGTCAATGAACATGGCGGCCCTGTCGCCCTCCAGGCAGTTGATGCAACTTTGACAAGGGCCAAACTTTGCGCAAACCACGGGTCCCGGTTTGCGGATCATAGCACACCGAACCATTGGGTGGATGTTTTGTTTCAGCTGGTTTCTTTTTCAAAAAAATGAAGATCGGATGCGCTGGAGCATCTCCTTCCCCCCCCATCGCTGATCAACCCACCTGGACGCCGTCGGGCCTCACCAAACCTCGGTGGGGCAAGGTGGTGGATCATCTCCAAACGTGGGAACCGGTCATCCAAACAAGCCAAATTTAAACTTCCAAAGGGACTGAAAAGTATGACAAGGAAGTTGCATGTGGTTTTGCCAAACGAGAAGAGATGTGGTTTTTTCAGACCCAAGCCTGGGCTTCCGCTTTCCACTGACCCGACAGGTCTCTAGTTCGTCCTGCAGGCCCTAGTCCTCGACTCTCTTCTGAGCATCCAGCCATAGCCTTGACTCTCATCCCAGCTCTTCACCAAACCGTTGAACCTGCTTTCAGAACATCTGTGCTGTGCACAACATCTGTGAAGGACTCTGGGTGGGGCATCTTTCTGGGCCTTTTTTTCCAAGAAGTCATCTCCAAACCTCGTCTTAGCTGCAGAGTGAGTTGCTTCAAGTCTAAGTTGCCTTCATCATCATTCACCCCAAGGCCAAGCATCCGTGGCCCCCTGCCCTCTGGGGCCCCCAGCGTCTGCATGGTCACCTCGCTTGGATTCCCTCCATTCCACCAGTCCGGAGGACCATAGGACCGGTGCAAACCAAACCGGACCCCAAGAGAGAGGTGAACATCTCCATGTAAGTGCCTGGGTTTGTATGAATCGACAGTCACTCTTTGTTTGCATGGCGAGTACTCAGTACTCTTTGAGAATTTCACACCAGCTGCCAACGAAAGAACCAGGATGTTCCTGCATCGTCATGCATCATCCTTGTGTTTGATGAATACTCAAAAACTGAGCACGTTGGACTTTGGAGTTGGATGGGTGTCCCACCAAAATGGGTCAGGACCGATCTTTGATGCAAAAAGACAGGGCAGGTCTCAACCTCTTGACCCAGTTCGAACGGGTCAAAAAAAGACCAACAAACTCGGTGCGTCATTGGGTCATTTGGATTCATGTGGTCATCGTGTGTGACGATCCTTCCAATCCTTGAGACCTTCCCAGACCCTGCCTGCCGATGTCAGCCGAACCAGGCACAGCGAGGCGGCGAAATCAGAGCGGCAGAACGGTGTTCCGTGCGGCACTTTTCCTGGGTTCTGTGGGTGTTGGACCTCTTGGGTTCCGAAGGTCGCTGAGCCGACCGGACCAGGCGATCTTGGCCTGAAATCCACGCCTGCCGGGTTGGTTGATGCGAAAGAAGCACGGATCCGTGTGCCGACCGGGTCACTTCCGTGTCTCCTTGTTCGTTAGACCGTGGGAGTGGAGGCAGTTTTTCGAGTCGTGGAGCTTGTTGAGATGAGTCGTGGATGATGGCAGTTCTCTGCTTCTCTCAAACGCTTTGTCATGTCATGTCTGCATCTACATCAGCTAGGCCAGCTACGCACCAGGGTTCTCTGGCTTTCCACCCCTTGAGCAAGTGATTCTCGAGGCCGAAGAGATCACAAGAGCAAACTGAGATGCATCTCAGCCTAGCACACAGCCAGCTTCTTCATCACACTGGCACATCTCTTATCTCGAGTCGAAAAAGAAGTATACCCAAATTCTGCTTACAGGATCCAAAGACCAGTGTTTTGCTTCTCTTTTGAGCCACACTTGATTGATCCACTTGTTCTGTGAACAGACATCACTATATATATATATATATCCAGCCGCATCTGGACCCATTTCACCCATGCCTTCAGCTTGAGTAGCGGTAGTGAGCAGCGGCCACTCAGCGGTTACCTGCCCTCTCCGACCAACACACCTCCCCAAAAATCGAGAGCAGCGGGCTGCGCTACCGGAGACTTGTTGGTTCTTGGACCTCGGTGCCAAACGTCAGCAGTCCGTGCTTTCCAACAGGCAAAACATGCAAAAAAAGACAGCCAAAATCAAATCAAAAGGAGTCCATCCTGCATCCTCCCAACCCGCCCCATCCTCCAAACCTCACTCACTCAATCTTCCCCATCAAAGAGTGAGTCAATCGTCTGGGCCACCTCGCTGTGATGGACTCGCGAGAGCTCCTGCTTCGGGTTCCGAGCGGAGGTCGAGAAGGAGGGAACCACTCTGCTTTCGGGTTGACACCCTTTCACAATAGATAAAGTCAAAATGTACCAGGACCCCACAACAAGGGGTGGTTTATGGACACCCCTTGACATCTAAAGGAGCTATCAAATGGAAGCCCCTTAGGGTGTCCTGGTACAGTTTCTATCTATCTATCTATCTATCCATCTATCTATCTATCTATTTGTACAGTATTGGAAACCTCCCGAGAAAGCCAGGGCCAGAACAGAAGCACTCTTCCTTTCCATGCAATGGAGATCAAGAAATGGAAACCTCCACAGCTCCCAACACCGCGACAGCGCGAAGAAGAATCCTCCACAGCCTCCTGCGCCGCTTTGGCCGCCTCCGAAACTTCGAAACTCCGAAACTTCGGCAGAACTGTTCTCGATCAACGCACGCACTTTGTCGGTGTGCAGCTCAAAGGTGTTGGCAAACATCCCCAGGCAAAAACACGGAGCAGGGGTTTTGTTCAACCTCCTTTCCTACACGATTTCTACCATGACATGCGTCGCATCTGTCCATAATACGTTCCTGCCAAATCGATTTCTATCCGTCCCATGGGCCTCTTGGATCATCCAGGACGGCGGCAAGGCCACCTGGCGCGAACTCCGCGAAGGACCCAGGAGAGACGACGAAAACCTCCACGGCTGCCCGGCCGGCTGTGGACGGATTTCCGCCCTGCCAGGCTCGGACAACTCCCCACCTGTGTGCCAGCCTTGCGCCCCCTGAGTGTGCTGCCGGCGCAGCAAGATGAATGCGTTGGATGCTCTGGATTCAACCGCCGCAAGTCACACCATTCACCATTCCAATTTCAAAAGAAAATAGGTGAAAAAGTGCCCGTGAGCTAGCTCAACAGAACAGGGCTCATATTCTCCTTTGCCGCCGAGCGAAACCCACATCTAAGTGGAAATCTCACCCTTCCCAGCAGCATGAACAGTCTCTTTCTTTCAACAAACATGCGAGTGGACTTGTTGTTCGTTTTTCAGCGCCATGTCGTCTTGCCCTTGGGTCAAAACCGGGACGCCCTGCTTGACCACTGAAAATGAACAGAATAGACTACCAGACATGGTCAATCTACCAGAGTCAACGGGGCTCCAGGTTTTGACTCAATGAAAGGGACATGGGTGTGTGAGCCGGGTGTACTAGCATGTCAACCGGGTGTATTCGCTGCGACTTTGGACCACAGAGCGCTGGCTGAAGTCTTACACACCCGGCACACCCAGATGTAGACTTCGGCTTGGCCACAAACCACCCGGACTGCTGAGTTGCTGACATGGTCGGACTGCACGGTAGCTGCAGCAGTGGACACTCGATGATGGAACGAAAAACGGAAGACACAACTGTAAGTTGAAAAACATTTGCAAAAGTTTGACTAGTATTGATTGATAAAGATACAGTCAGTGTATATCCTTGACCCATTCCAGTGCTTGCTGTGTCCAGCTGGCAGCTCCCATCCGCGCAATCCCATTAAACACCATGAGGTGTTGGCTGAGCATGGCAGCGGGAACGACTTTCGAGAGCAGCGCCAATCCAAGTCCCGCACATGAAAAACTATATACGTGTACATGTATATATAGGATTATATAGGTAGTGTGTGGCTTTTATCATGAGTGAGTTTTGGGTTGGATTGCATTCCTAACAGTAAGAAGTGGTTAAGACAACCCCTGTAGCGAATGGAAAACCAGATTCCAGGAGTTTCAGGTTTGGCACAGTTGAATGGTTCCTGCAGAGCGTGCAAAAAAAATAGAAGAAAGGAAAAGAGATAGACAGAGAGAGGAAAATAAATAATGTATATCGAGTGATGTAATGTTGTTTTGCAACTCGAAGTCAAACCCAGCATGCGATGACAACCCGCAGTCAAGGCCTAAGATTGAGAACAAAAAACGCCCCAAAGGTCCACACCCTTCTCCTTCTGAACTGGAATTTGCCCGACTCTCAGTCCAAGCGTTCGCTCATTTGCTCAAGCCCCGCACGCTCCGATCCCTTCGGCCCTTGGTGTGGGAGTCCCCAACAAAGGGCCATGGGCCCAACAGACAGACTTGAGACAAAGCCTGACGGGGTTTTGTTGGGGGTTCTTTGCTGGACGCTTTTTCGGAAGGAGCAGGGTGAAGGCTGACACGGGTCCAACGAAGGCAGCAAGGAGCACCTTTTGAATCGACACAACTGCGTCGACAGCTCATTCTCTCCCATCTGCTTGCAAGGCAAAGTCTTGTCGGCTCTGTCGCCTGCCTGAGCCATCCTTCAGTCATTACCTGGATGTGTCACCAAAGCGAAAATGAACAAAACAGTACAACGATTTACCTTTGTGCTTAGGTGTACCATCTCATTCTGAGACAGCCCCAAGCTTAGGCACAATCGGAGACATCACCCAACCTGCCAGAATGTCACAATTTGCTCCGTGACATGAGATCACTTACATTTGGCGACCACGATGCAGGCTGCCACCAATCCGGGAGCTTCCTATGAAATATCCTCTTTCACCAGATTTCCCTAAAACACATGGTAGATTGAATGGAGACCAACAAAAGCACGTATCTTGACATCCAGCATATCCTGAACTTCTAGACATCCAACAGCGGCCTGGAAAAACCCTCAGCACCCTCAGTCAAGAAATACTCTTCTAGGAAATCTGGGAAGTCTCGGATTGCCCCGACTCGGATTGACCAACCTGAAAGCCCCGACTCGGCGAGCCCTGAAGGGCTCGAAAGCCCTGAAGGGCTCGAAGCCGCCGGCTATGGAATCAGCCGCGGCCGCTCCGTGGGCCAATGCGTGCTGCTGTCCGGGCAGCCACGACCCAAGGCCTCCAGCACCTGGGTGGCGAGGTGCCGGATCAGTGGGGGGAACTCCAGGCCCAAAGCCTCTAATGCTGTAGACTCTTGATGAATAGAGCCTCCATGAGAGCATGTACAATTTAAATTGAGAGGGTTTCTTTACTCAAGATTATTACTCAAGAGTCTACATGATGTGGTCCTCGCAGATTGACCTACATTCTCGGCCCCTCTTCAACCTTTCAATCACCCTGATGAATGTGTATAGATATGCCAGTCCCATGGAGCGTCTGGGATAAAGATTGAACGGCCTACACACAAGGCCTTCACCATCCAGTTTACCCGATCATTGCTTCACCTTTGGGTCACATGTCACATCTCCAAACATCACCTTTGGGTGTTCGTTGGATGGCACGCACTGCCCTCTGTTCATCCCAAAACCAAGGGGAGCCGAGTCCTCGGTGTCCATCCCCTCGGACTCCGAACCCCACCGGTCCCGAACCAACGGACCGGCACCAGAGCCACTGAACATCAAGTGGCGGATCGAAAATAAGAAAGTAAACAGAGATCTAAAGGCAGGAATCCTGAGATTTGGACCACTGGGCTCCCAATGGTGGACCCCATGATTTCAAGACAACCCACACACCCCTATAAAACTTGTCTTTTCTGGCCACTGTCACCCCACAAGATCCAGAAACGCACACAAAAGAACCTCCTCCACCTCCACCTTCTCCACTTACCTACCTTCTCCCTTCTCCACCGGGCCACCGGTTCACACAGCACCTTCACCTCCTCCCGGTCCATTGCCACGTTGGGCCAGCGATCCCATGGGCGTCGCCGCTCCTCCGGGTTCCAGGCGTCGTCCGCGCGGAAGAGCGTGCTCAGCACGCAGAAGGCGTTCGCGTCGCGCGCGCGCAGGGCTTGGCGGCCCGTGCTGGCGTTCGTGTTGCCCGGCACCTGCGGTGCCAAAGGCGAGTTTGGGGTGAGGTTGGGGCGGAAAGAGGGGGTTGGAGGGGTGAGGGCCAGTTGATTTCCGTACTTGAGAAAAGGATATAAAGGGGCCGATTTGGTGGCAGATACCTATCAGTTGTACATTTGGGGGTATCTCTTCTATCAATCAAGCAACCAACAGTAAAAGGCCATCCATGGCCAGGGTTCGTGTTTAATTGATCCACCGTCGCTTTTGGGGAAGAAAGTTCCAAAAAGAGTTCTGCTTATCCAATCTCATGGATGATTGGGGGATGACTCCCAAGTAGTCCCAAGTAGATCCAGCTCACACATTTAGCAACCACAGCCCCTGTTGCCCCCGTGAGGGATGACTGTGTTTCTCACCGACTCGAATTCGACCACTCCTCCACGCCCGCTGCCCCCATGCCGCTCCCATCGCTGCGCCTTGTACTCCTCACTCCCATCGCCACTCCCGAACCAGCGATGCATGGCCATGGCCAGGTATTCATCTGCCTGTAGGGTGGGCACCGGCTCACCATCCACCTCCGACCCTGAGTCGTCCGTGGTATAGAGCTGCTGTTCCATGGCCTGCTGGTACGCCTTGTGGTACATGCAAACTCTCCTGGAACGATGGGTCTCTACGCAGAGGGAGGGACTACAGGAACTGGCATGCCGCTGAATGAAGGGGGCGGTAAGGAGGGCGGCGCGAAGAAAGTGGAGAGTGCGATTCTAGAAGTGTGATCCCGGACAGAACCTCCTAGACGATCCAACCAAAAAGGATTTCCTGTCGTTTTCTTTGATGGATCTCTTCTAGCAAAGGATAGTAGTTTTGGATTCTCTGGCTCTTCCAAACTGCTTGCTGACCACAGCTGTCCAAGCTGTGATGTATCAGCTAAGCTCAGCGCTTAGCTGCAGCAGCTCAGCTCGCTCCTGGGGGAGAGTGCACAGTACTGGATGGTGTGCAGCATCTCCTCCAAGACCGTCACTTGGCTCTCGCCCTCATAGACCCCGGTCGACGGGAACCAAGGAGCACCGCCGCCGAGACCCGTCACAAAGCGGCGGCTCACCTGAGCACCGGTGGCACCGACTCGGTCGGCCACCGATTCCGCGGACATGTCTCATAGGGAACCTCTGACAGGTGGTGGGACTTGGATCACTTACCACAACAAGAGATAGAAGACATCACCTTCACTGCTGCAATGCCTCAACTCCACACCCTAGAAAAAGGACAAAGATCAGCTTCCAAGATCCAGAGGCGCAGGACATGGACACGCTTCACTCTTGGAGAAGATGGGGAGTATTGCCCTCTGACTGACTCACTAACATGGAAGTGGAGTTCACCCCTCATGGGTGGAGGAAAGGAGTCTTCCGAAATCGGGACCATGCCATCCACTTCCCATCCACGTAACCATGTTAGTAGGTCACAGGGTGCGTGGCATCGCATCCACAAACCGCATAAGCGCGCCTTCCATCACCGACACCTGCCCAGCCTCTGGATGCTTCAGCCACGGATCCTCACCATGCGACTCTTCCCCAGCAATGAGGAACCGAACGCCCACATGCGACAAGTTCGCCAGGACCTCCTGCGAGAGAGTTCTTACTCACTGCCAGGCGCACAAAAGGGTCACCAAAGAAGGATTGGAGAGGGGCTGAACTTGCACCCAAGTAATATAGACTCCTGATTGATAAACCGCAAGGGTTATCAATCAGGAGTCTACATTATTTGTCTTGTTCTTCGCTTGAACCATTCTCCCAGCTTTTGGCCATCATTGCTGCCGACATTGGCCATCAAAGCAGATCTTGGCCGAAAACATTCCAACGTGAGATACTGGGAGAAGGTGTGAAGCCGCTGAAAAAAAGCCACACTGTTTGCGGCGGCAGCACGCCGCTGGGCGCCGCTAGCGCGCCAACGGCATGCACCATGGTGTGGGGTGGCGGACTGGACTCTAGACTCTAAACGCCCTAGACCACTCCAGCCAAGGAACATCATTCAGATGCACGGTCGATCCCCCGTGGAGTCATGAATTTGTCCATGGTCTGGGGACATTACTGGGGGGGGTTCTGATGGTTTTTTTTTCCGCATGGAATCCAGGACATCAGACGTTCGAGCACGAGAAATGGCAGACACTGCCATTCAAGAAACACGGCCCGACACTTCGTAGGATGTTGGTTCGGCTTCCGGAAGAAATCCACTTAGAGCATTTGAGGGACCAGACATGCCACGCGTTTGAGACCTTGTGCCTGATCTTACGAATCCGGCCCTCAACCCGGGCGATGGAGGGCCCGAGGATTGAAGAAGTGGGACTGTAGTAACTTAGTTATTATACAGATCCGCTTCTCGGAGGTGTGAAGGAAGGGACACCATGAATGTTCGGCTGGAAAGGACTGTGTGTCCGAACCGGGCTGACCACCGGGCTGAAGGAAGGTGCCAAAATCTTCTCACCGTCAGAGGGGCCAAACACATCTGAAGATGTTCAAAGCCTCTTCCAACCAAAGCAACCATCTCCTGGTCCACCAGCCTCAATAACATGTGCTCCAGTGTGCTCGACACCGTCTCAAGGTACTCGCGATGCACATCAGCACCAGCAAGGATGGGAACCCCCAGTGAAGTGCCATCATGGTGGTGCACCAGGAAGTACTGGGAGTAGAAACCTGACGAGGTCCGTGGAGTGGTGAGGTCGACCGGCCGGGCGCCGGCCGCCAAGTCGGTGTCCCCGGAACGAGCTACCGCCGTGACCCCACCTTTCCTGGAGTCTATCATCGACGAGCTCCTTGTCTACAGTCTACAAGAACAAGAATATCAAGAAGAAGGGCCTCGACAGTTACAAGACTCACCAAAAAATATTATTAACTATATATTCATAATTGACAAAAAAAAACAAGAATAGGCATCTGCACACTGAACCCTCCCACCTTGGCCAACCTCCTGAGCCCAGGTCCTCAACTCCGGCTCCTCTCGGGGGTCCACCACGGCACCGAGTCCCACCACAGGAGGCGGCGCCATGGGCCGCGCGCCCTGCGGCAGCCGCACGTCGCAGCTGAGACCCTGGCGCTCCCAGCGCTGCGCCGCGGGGGGCGGCGCCAGGAAGCCTCCCGGCAGCGGAGAAGCGACGGGGAAGGCCGGGGGTTTCTTCGAAGCGACCGTTTTGGTGTATTTAAAGGTTGGTGAAGTGAGGAACACTGTGAAGGGATGGATCTCCATCTATCATTATTTAAAACACGAGCTGGTAGGTTCACCTTCTCAGATGTGGGAAAACTTAAGTCCCCAGGTCGCCACGTCGGTCGGCTCGGTCCATTGTTCGCACCTGTAGGCTCGCACACACGAAGGCCCCGATTCAGTGCCAGGCAGCTGCAGCTGAGCCCAGAAGGGCAGTGTTCCACGCACACGGAGCCCTGCTGGGCCTGTCGGGAACAGCAGGGCTAACCTATTCAACTGAAGATCTATCTCCTGCCATCCACCAAAATTACGAGCAGAGAGGGTGTGTTCTGGATTCTGATCATTCCAGACACAAACCAACATCAAATTGGTTCCAAGTGATCCCAAAAATATGTGGGAAACCCTTGGAACTGTGAGTTCAACAAAAGACAGATGTCAGAAGTGGCCAAGATTGAGTGCGATGGGCCCTACCTGTCACATTCAAAACTGCTCACATTTCCTCAGCTAACTCTTGATTCTATTCAGGCAAAGCACCCAATTGAAATCACACCGTGTGTGCGTGTGTGCAAATACCTTTTCCCACTTCCCACATGCCAACTTATATAATATGTATACGTGTCAACAATTCAATATCTCGCACATGGCATGCCCGCTGTGTCGTACTTGCTCCACATGACTCCGTCATGGTCAAAAAGACTGTAAGTTAACACTTGCCAATTAGACACTAACTACCCTCTAGTTGATCCGGATTGAAATGCCGGGAAATGAGGCGATCGGCATCCAAAATCTCGGAGGTGGGATGGTCCCAGCAGCATAACTGCAAATCCAAAATCCTAGGTGAGGTCACTTGGAAAAACAAAAATGCACCTGAAGACGCAAGAGTTGTGCCACGGGCAGCAGGCACAAATGCAAGAAGCTGCGCATCTCCACAGCTGCGGTACCGACTGCAGGTAGAGCCGGGTTTGCTACATGATTATATAAAGCAGTAAAAAGGCGTGAAGTTGCTGATTGAGCCAGATCGCACCAAGTAATATTTATACATAGTGGAGAATCACTTGGACAAAAGCGACACGTGGACCGAAGCGAGAACCTGCGATGAGGTCGTTAACGTTCCTTAAGCCCTTCACAAAAACACATTAGCTGGGGCGCACGAGGACCCGAGTCACACTCGCACCTAGGGTGCCCGAGGTCGTCAATCACACTCTCCCCCACGGTGGCACGAATGCGGATCGAAGTGCATGCAGCCTAGGGTGGATGAAGGCAGGGGAATCAAATATATTTTCGAAACACATGTCATACATACAAAATAAATCACCCCTGATGTACAATACAGTGATCCGGAATGCGACCTTTTGTTCACAACGTTCACAATTATTACATAGTTCTCAAACTCAACCTGCTTACGAACGGATCGCAAATTTAAACCCTTCACAAAAGCACACTGCCGCTCAAAGCAGGGACGCTCCTCTTTCCAGCTTGGGTGCACGAGGTCCCTGAGTCATCAACTCCCCCTTTAGAGAGAATCAAG